AAGAAACAAATATGAAAAATCATGTCATTTAACTGTGGACGTGTTGTATGAGAGATTCATAAAGTTATCGAATTTTTCCCGTTACCAGCATAAATCTAACTCTATAAGGTAGGTTGTTCAGTAAAGTCATGTTGCGAAACTATTCGTTTGACCAACAGCTTTCCGTTATTGCTCAAAATTAAATATAAAAAAAATGAAAAAAAATAACCGGCAAAAGTTTTGAAAAAATTTTGTAGGGACAGTTCCTATTTTAAAATCTTCTTGACAAAAATTCACTATCTTACAATTTTCTTTGAATGAAAACTCCTTATCTTGTAACCACTTTCAGCCTAATTTTGTAAGAAGTTGCACGAACCTTATAAGAGAATACTAAGATTTTCGGTCAAACTGGGATAGAACCTATGCATGGAATTGTATAATCAGCATTTTTGTAAGGATATCAATCCGGTGTTGTAATATTATAAACAACTTACAGTAAACTTTTTTTTTCAGAATTCACTTGTTTGTTTTAAGATTGTTTAATCTAATTATAGAAAAACTCATTTTTATGGTCTCATTTAGAAACTTCTCATCAAAGGTGTTCATACACTTGGTTGCTGATTTTTCCTCGTCCGCGTTGCAAGAACAGCTTCTTAGGTTTTACTTGTTCTCTTAGTTTTATCTGGTGATTCGCAAATAAATTTCTTGGCTCTAAATCAGCTCCTTGTTAGGTTAAAAGAAACCTAAATGACTAGCCTTATCGCTATCAAAATATCAGATGGAAAAAGATCCGTAGGAGGTGGTGGTTTTGATCCTGCTCCTGACCTTGAACCGCTGGGACCAACATGGACTCCACAACAAGGATGTCAAATGTGTATGGCCATTTATGACAATCATGAATTCTGTATGTGGAACAAAAAAGATTGCTTCACTTCAATTATCAAACCAAAAAATGCACTTTTGTTTCTCTGTTTTGTGATGGCATTTGTGATTGAAAAGTTTATTCGAATTGATTGAGTAAGGCACGAAACTTTTTTGACAGATAATGGTTCAAAACTAAATTTGATTGCCAATTTCTTGTTATTGATTTTATTGACTTTGAGATTGCTGTTTATTGGAATATAGAATGATAATTTGTAAAATGAAAAGAAAATATGTTTTCGTTGCGTGACCCATTATTCCATGAAGTTTCCCGTAAATTAGTAATATTTTTTTGATTAGTTTTTACTACACTTGTGATAATTTTCATAAAACTTAAATTTAAAAAACGCGTGTACCGTTTCTATTTAAGAACAAAAATGGATCATAGACTCCAAGATAATCAGTTTTGCTATTCAACTGTTTTTTAAGTAGGAATCATTTCCAATTCATGTTTTGCAGAGATAATTTAAGTTTATCTTTAAAAGAATTCAAAACCCTTTCTTCCTTTGCTTGAAAAGAAAGTGATCATCAATTGTAGCTTGGCAATCAGAAGGGTTAGACAAAATACCATTTTAGTTCTCTGAAATTGACTATTCAGATAAAATAAAATATAACATTAGTAGGTTTTGTATGCTCCCATAGTTGTGAGACCTTATCTCGCCTAGAAAAAAAAGCTTCGAACAGTTTCATCTATATGATCTCAGGCGCAGGTAATCACTGAAAATGCTGAGAAAACCCTAGATGGCAAAATAACTGAACCAGATATAACTAAACGGAATTTTTTTCAACCCCATTCCAAATTGTCCTTTTTTAGGAAATGTAATTTGATTCCGCAGCAAGGACTTTCACTTTATTATTGTTTTGTTCTTTAATTTCTTTGATTGTTCCGACAAAGTTTGAACATGTTTGAAGACTTGTCTATGAAATCCAGGAACAGATAGACACAAAATTGTGCGCCTATCCAGTGCACAGTTTGGCCTCGTAAGCGAAAACGAGTAGGCCGTACACTCACTTTGCAAAATTAGTTTCTCGCATTACTCAGTTGATAAATGCAGAAATTCTAATAAGGGGTACCATTACTGATCTAGTAGATTCCGATTCCGAAGGGCAGTATTTGAGATGAGTCCAAAACGAAACGTTTAGTGACTCAACTGATAATTGGTCATTGTAGTAAATGAATTGAGGTTTCTGGTGGCCACCTAGTAAGAAAAAGATAATTTTATACCCTTTATTACATATGTACATAAATGTAAACGGAATCCCTAAACAAAATGCGGATTCCGCTCATAATTTGCGGATACTGCAACAGCTTGAATTAAATATACACATGACTTATGATTTTTTTTGATGAATCTACGAACTGATCTGGTTTCCGCATATACGATGTCGGATTCCGAACAATAGCCTATTTTTGGAGCAATTTTGAAAGGTACAGTTTTTTAGGTATTTGGTTTTGGAATTCAAAACAGCAAAGAAGAGCAAAGAAAAGTAGCATTGTTGCAGAATCCTCGACAAATCTGATTTTGGCCTTTGACAAAATCCGCTTACAAGGCACAGAGTCAGCCGTTTGGCCTCGCAATGAACAGAAGCTAGTTTTTTAAACAAATGTTATTGTCAGTCTATTTGAAATACTTTTTGTTGTGAAATACGTGGTCGGCATGAACCCGGGTTGACCAAAAATGCGAATCAAACAATTTTCATACATGAAAAAGACTAATCGCGCATTTTTCATGCATTAACTGCAAGAATGGGCTCTGATTAGTGATTTATCGTAAATGGAAATTGTTTGACTGGTCTTTTTCCATAAACAAAATAATTGATTTTTTACATTTTTTTCTCAAAACTTTTTGTTCGTCTTCGTAACCGAACACATGTGACAAAAAACCTTGTTTACTCAAGCGTAGAGTAACTAAAATTTTGACCGTCGCGCATTAAAATGCATTGTAACTGGCCTGAAATGTATTAAATCTTTCTTACACAAATAAAATAACGATCGAATCAAACTTTTATTTTTTGCCAAAATTTCTTAACGATGATTGTTTTTAAAATTTGAACTTTAAAATGATCAGATATTGATCAGGGTATACCCAAACATTCCATACAAAAGAAAGGAGTGCTTTTTCTTTTTTTGAAAAAAAATTATTAAGAAAAAAGCGAAAAAAAAATTCCAATATTAGTGTATCCAGGACTACAATATACACACAAAAAATTAAACTCAGCATGCAGAATTTTTTTGAAAAACGTTCGCTTGAAATAAAAATCAAATTTAGGGTGGAAAAAACCCAAAAAAATTTTGAGGCCAGTTTCAAAAGTACTTGTTGCTGTCAAAAAAAGGCTTAGCATACAATTTTCATATACGGAAATTGTAGGATTAGCATTTTTTGACGAATTAATTTTATTAGTACGATACACCAAAGTTTTTGGGGCCAGCTTCAATTTTTACGGTCTATGGAGGTCAACCCTTGGTAGAAATAGCTTTTATGAGAATGAAACTTGCAGCTGCAACGTGTTTTTTGAGCATTTACCATTTTTGCTGCATGGTTTTTAGTTTTGAAGTCAGGTATAGTTTAATTTTGTTGTGACTATTAGAACCAAAACTTGCGTTTTTTGCACTAGACTATCTAGAATCATTGAGTTCATAGTAGTGCTTTACCGACGTTTTCAAGATATTTAATTTCAAACGAAAAACTTTATTATTAGTGAAAGAAGACATGTTATTTCACAGATTTTTGAGCAAAATAGTCTCTACGGTTGCCGAGCAAATTGCTGTAAATTTGATGATAAAAAGGCTGAGATCCAATTAATAGAACAAACACTTTTCATTTCAAACAAAAAGAAGTTTTTATTAATGAGTGAGGCTTCATTTTAAACCATGAAAGGCCTGTAGGAGACATAATAATCAATACCAAATAAGGCCCAATTTTTTGAAAATTGTTTTTTTTTTATTCTGTGACTCTAATACTAATGACTTCGCTGAAGTGATTTGACAGTTCTGTGAATAGTTGAATTTTGTTTGTAGTGGCCATTTGTACTGATAATTTGGAGGAAGATCCTTTCGTTACAATACTAATATCTGGCAATCGGATGTGGTTTAAAATTTTTCAAAAAATTTCAACCAATAGTATTAACTTTTTTTGCGAGTTTTGGAATGTTCTATAAGTATTATTCAGTTTAACAATTTTTGACATTACGAGGTCAATTGGTGCATTTTGTGAATTGTAAGCGGATTCCGCAACAAGGACGCTCCCTTTGTTCTTCTTTTTCTCTCAATTTTCCTTCATCGTTTCGACAATGATTTAACATGTTTAAAGATTTGTCTATTGAGTCCAGGAACGGACAGACACAAAAATTTTTTCCTGTCCAGTGCACAGTTTGGCCTCGTAATGTGAGTTAAAGCAATAAAAGAACTTTCAAAATTTTCTTCATTTAACCAAAGTCTAAGTTAAGTAGAAACTTAAAATGAGATATGAGAGCCGGTTAATGGCTTTTAACCATTATCATTTCCTGGCGATTGAAATTACCTCAAAAATGAGCTTTTTATTTTTCCTAATTGTAAACACAAAGTCATCGGATTCAAGTATTAGAAGTCATTCAACGGTAATAATCTACATGAAGAATATTATTTCCCTTACTGAAATTTCTAGTTGAATTCAAATCTGGACATCGAAAATACAAACAAAATCCATATCTGTATGAGTCCTGTAGTATGTCTCTTTTTTCCCTGTACATGCCTGAAACAGACATGTACCATACATTTTAATTATGAAAAAAAAATCAGATCTTGAGTCAGATATTATCAGGCATGAAGTAAACCTGTACTAGACATGTTCATGTCTGAAATTACATGACCAGACCTGAAGCAGACATGATCATACTTGACTTCACATGATAATACCTGGACCAAACATGATCAAGCCTGAAGTTACATGATCAGACCTGAAGCAGGCATGATCATACCTGACTTCACATGATCGTACCTGGACCAGACATGATCAAGTCTGAAGTAACATGATCAGACCTGAAGCAGACATGATCATACCTGACTTCACATGATCAAACATGGACCAGGCATAATCATGACTGAAATTACATGATCAGACCTGAAGCAGACATATCTTGATGGTAGTGTGAGACCGGGACAATCCGTGACCCAACTGAAGCAAGCTTCGCTGTTAACTCGAGAAGCAAAAATCAGTTGAATGCTGGTGCCAGGCAATGCCCAGCATGCCAGATATTAAGCTGACAAGAACAAATACTACACTTGATCATAGCTAAAAGGCCGAGAATCAATAACAGAAATAAATTATCTTTTTTTCTACTGCCTCAGACAAAAAGAAACAACAGCTCGGACCATAGAACTGTAAAATTAACCGACTGGATTGGGAGCTAGGTCGCTCCCGAAACAATTCATACAAGATCAAGACAAACAGTTAAAAATAGGCAGTCATTATGATTCTTTGTCTTATCAAGACACCCTGCCGACTTATAATTCCATCTTAAAACTACAGTGGACTACATTATAACCATATGCGTTTCTGCCGTTACATGGCGCTAAATTTCTTTACTTGATGAGAACTTAAGCAGGAATAGTCAAGTATGAACAGATATAGTCTTGCCTGACCAGTTATAGTCATGTCTAGCCAGGTATAGTCTTGTCTGACCAGGTATAGTCATGTCTGGCCAGGTATAGTCATGTCTGTTCAGGTATAGTAATGTCTGACCAGGTATAGTCATATCTGACTCAGGTAGAGTCTGCAAACGGCAGTGTCTGACAACTGAATGATCAAACGTGAAGTTGTGAGAAAAGTTCGGTACGGGTTTCCTGTTCAATTTACCCGTGTATTCTCTAAAAATTTTACGAAAAGTGTTCGAAGACAGGAATATATGCAAACAAAAATAAGTTAAATTTCGGCTTCAATGAAAATAGCAAGATAAAGAAAGGGGAAATCAAACGTTAAAGACTCCTTGCAATTCTTTGAACAAGAGATAGACAATCAAAAAAGACAAAAAAAGCTCGTTTGTCTTACAACAAAATTATTGGTTTTTTCGATTAGCTATTAATTTGTTCACTAGTAATTATGCTAATTATTTTGAGTTAAGACTACGAAAGGAAGAACAAAGAGCAATAATGCGTCTCCCGAGAGATTGCCTGCGGTAAAACACTGCGTGCATTGCTTTTTGTATTTTCTAAAATTCCTAATCACTTTAGCCATTATCAAAAAGTCAGTCGTTACGAAAATGTCTGTCGCTAGGCAGATCTGCAAAGTCACTGAAATCGCCCAATGTTTGGCATCCAAAACGGTTAAAGATTAACGGTGCATAATCTTTTTTGCAGCACCTTTCTTAACCTGTTTGTACTTCTTCCTCGTACCTTGCTTGACTGTCCACATGCTGTCTCCTTTTGATATATCAACTCTCGGGTCATCATCATTGATGGGAATAAATGAAAAGGTGTTGCTTGTGTTGCTATCTTGCTGGTTTTCGAAAACATGATGCAATTCATCAATTGTCAATGAGGTGATGTTATTTCGGTTGAATTTGGCAAAGAAAGAAGCCAAGCAGTTTTATCTTTTTCCCCAAAAATCGGAAGCAAAATGTGGTGTTTCTGCAGATCGCATGTTAGAGATAATTTGGACGCCGCTCTGATTCAACATTTTCAAAACAATTTTGTCGAACGTTCGAATTCTTCATCCGCTGCCATACTGATGTAGAGTGAATAGCACTTGGTCCAGTGAATCGTAGATGTGATCATTTGTCTGTTCGCGCTCACATCAATGGTCACTGCGGTGCTCGGAAAGGCCACCCGTTTGACAGGAATAAGTAAAAAAAAACTAATCATTTGTGATTTTTGACAAAAAGCACACACTCAGTGAGCCGAATATTTTTTGTTCAAGACAAACGAATTTTGTCTCCAAACCAATTCAAAGCCCTCTCATTCGTTTTTTTCGGATTCCTGAATTTCGGATTTTTTAAAAGAAGAATTTAGTTTTTCCTGACTTCAATCGTACGAAAATTTTTCACGACTTTGAACATAAATTTGAGTAAAAAACAAATTGTGTACAATGTATGACTGATTAGCGTAAAAAATCTAGAAAACGCAAAAGTTTTAATTAACAGACGCAGTTGGTTGAAAGAAAACGATTTGTTTTTTGTGAAAACGAAAAAAAAATAAGTCAAAAAAGAAAAAAAACGAAATTTTTTTTTTCGATAAAAAAAGATCCTGTCTCCGAACTAATGAAACCATCGGATAAAACTTTTCAATGATCCCCTGACTATGATTTGGACTCATGATCAGATTTCATTTAAAAAACATAATAAAAATTTAACAACCTCTTCTCACCAAAAACTGATGTTTATGCACGTGAAACGGGAAAAACGCATATAAATGGTCTTAAACTCTCGCGCTATCTCTCTCTTTCTCTCTCACACACACTCTTTTTCTCTCTCTATCGCTCTCTCCGATACCTTGTGTTAAGAGTTCTAGCCAAACCCATTAAGCGAGAAGGGCAAAAAAGAGGTTGGAGGTATTTTTAAAAAGCCTAAGCTGGGATACTCATCCAGCATGAAAACAACAAAGCTTTCATTATACATTGAGGAATACTGAAAATGGTGTCAACAATGAGCAATTTTAAAGTAGCAATTTCAATGTTAGTAGCAAAATTTTGTCAACGTTTCCTCAAAGTTGTGTGATCTTTCATAAAATACCTGAGACGAATTAGTTTTGTTTTGATTCTACGCAAATGAAATCTCTAAAACTCTCGAAAAAACAAGCTTCTGCCTTTATTATTTTAATAGTCTTATCCAATCAAGTTCTGCTTCTGAAGTAATTGAGACAAGTAAAAGTAATAGTTTTTTCTTTTTCCTTTTGTTACATTTTTCCTTTTTCATTGGAAAAACACAAAAAACATAATCATATGAAAAATCAGAAGTTAATTGATAAGAAAAATTAGGACAAAAGTACATCAAGAAAGTCCACACTAAATTGATCGAAACGGACAAAAAGTTTTAACACTGGACTTCGACTGCTAAAAAAAAGAACATTTCTGATGTCGGGTGTTTGAAAAAAATCCCTTTTTAATGATTTTTAGGTGTCTGCTTGCCCGAGTTTGGAAATTCAATGGAGCCAAAATCCAAGTGAGAATCTCGAAAATGGATCAATCGACAACCGTATTCGAGCAAATTTGGTTCTGGGCGACGTTAAAAGCAATTATGGTCACGAATTTCAATGCACCTCCGGTCACACGAAAACTCTCGTATGCAATTTTTTTGCTCTGTATAAGTCAACTTAGTCTAAAGAAAATTTTGCAACATCAAGTGTTTTGATGCAATAACCTTGTCGATTTTATTGGGTCTTGGCTTAAGATCGTTTACAGGAATTGTTACTTGGTGACGCATCTTTCTTTAATACTATAATACTACTATAGACTCTCCGGTTTGATTTCTGATAATGTGGCTCTCTCGAGAGAATCGTTTAAAGATTTTTGCAGAGAAGCTGACAAATTTTGAATGCGTTTTGCTGATTTTATAATTTCTGTCCCTTTCTAATTTGAAGAATTTCAGAAAACGAAATAAACTTTTCAATATTTTTGCTTTCAGTTTTTTTCAATTATTGTTTTCAATTTTTAGTGGTCTAAGGTGATCTCACTTTTCATAAACTTGGGCATGAAAAAATTTAGTTTAGGAAGGTTAAACTTTAAAAATAGTCAATGTTTTAAGAGCTATTTTAAAATTTTTTGCAACTCTAAGAAGAACAGTGTAGGCTTGATTGATATAGGCTTCAAATAAACTATGTTCGCTTTTTTACTTTATCTCAATGGCAAACTGACTCATTTACACTTGAAAAAGATAACTTGCATGGCGCCAGAGAAAATTTGTTAGGTGTAAAGATCTTATAAGTGCTTACCTTACATTAACGATATGCGTGACTAAAACTCATAAAGTATAATGGCAAACCTTAACCTTAAGTCGGCCGAGTTATGGCAAACCATAAACAGAAGTCGGCCGAGTTTAACTATCAACTAGCTAGACCTGCAAAGTCACCGAAGTCGCCCAATTTTTGGCATTCAAAACGGTTAAGGATCAACAGTGCATATTCTTTTTTGCAGCACCTTTTTAAACGTGTTTGTCATTCTTCCTCGTACCTTACATGACTGTCCACATAGGAGTAAAAAAAGTATCCCTTCTGATATATCAGTTCTCGGTTCATAGTTGTCGTTGTCCAGAAAAGTCAACCTGTCCGAGGGCAAATTCCTTTATTGCTCGTTAGTGTAAGATCTCATCCAATTTCTCACAATCAGGAAGATCAAAACATCATCATTGATGGGAATAAATGAAAAGGTGTTGCTTGTGTTGCTATCTTGCTGGTTTTCGAGCACATGATGCAATTCATCAATTGTCAATGAGGTGATGTTATTTTGGTTGAATTCAGCAAAGAAAGAGGCCAAGCATTTTCACCTTTTTTCCCAAATATCGGAAACAGAATGTTGTGTTTCTGCAGATCGCATGTTAGAGACAGTTAGGACGCCGCTCTGATTCAACATTTTTAAAATAAATTTGTCGACCTTTCGAATTCTCCATCCGCTACCATACTAATGAAGAGTGAATAGCACTTGGTTCAATGAATCGTAGAAGTGATCAACCGTCCGTTCGCGTTCACATCATTGGTCGCTACGGTGCTCGGAAAGGCCACCCGTTTGAACGGAATAAGTAAAAAACTAATTAATTTGTGACTTTCTGAGAAAAAGCAAACTCTCAGTGTGAGCTGAATATTTTTTGTTCAAGACAAGTAAATGTTGTCTCCAAATCAAACTAAAACTCTCTCATTCGATTTTTTTTTGGATTTCTGGGCAGGGTTTGAACTCAGATTCAATTTTTTCTAAAAGAGTTTAGTTTTTCCTCACTTTAAACGTACGAAATTTTTTCAAGACTTTGAACATAAAAAAGAGTAAGAAACAAATTGTGTACAATGTATGACTGATTACCATAAAAAATCCAGAAAATGAAAAAATATCAACCAGAGATGCAGTTGGTTGAAAGAAAAAGATTTGTTTTTTGTGAAAACGAAAAAAAAAATAAGTGGAAAAAGGAAAAAAAAACAAAGTTTTTCGATAAAAAAAAATCCTGTCTCCGAACTAATGAAAATATTGGATCAAACTTTTTGATGATCCCCTGACTATGGTTTGGACTCACCAAAAAATGATGTTTAAGCAAGTGAAACTCGATTAAAACGTGGAAAAATGCTTATAAATGGTCCTAAACTCTCTCTCTCTCTCTCTCTCCCACTCTCTCTCT